CTAACCAGAGAGATCTTGCCTTGAAATGTGAAAGTTTCTTTTAATCTACAGGACGTTTCAATCAACTGTATTAATACACTTTTAAATGTTGTGGAAATTGGTATTACATAACCCCATGCCTGCTGTTATCACGAAGATCAACATTTGCCTATCCTTCAAAGGTACACAAATTCACAGCCGGGCATGTCAAGACTTTGGACAGGAAACGCTTCATTTGCAGTTACTGGAATGCCTGAAGTAGTCATTCTCTGAAGAAACTCCTCTCTTGCTTCATTCAGGTGCATGGCTGGAAAGAGAAGTTAAAATTAACAGTAAAAATCTTTTCTGTCTGCAAAATTTTAGCAGAAAGAGGGTCTTTTCTTCTTTCTTTTAGATGATTTTCCAAATATTTCTTATCAAACATTAGTATCTGATTAATTTAGAGGATCAAAATCTATTTTATTTTGAATGAACAGACAGGTAAAATGACAGACTTCTGTTCCCTGCAAGGACAAAGGTGTTATTTAGAGTCAGGTTTCTAGTGTAACTGATCACAAACAGGAGTATGAATATTCCACTMATATCCTCCATCATTTGCTATTTATTATTGCCATGAATAGTCCACTAAAATTTACCACCAGAACATTCAGGGAAAGGAAGCACTTAGGACTAYAAATTTAGATGGTACAAATGGATTAGTGCTTTGAAGAAGTACTCAGATTTTTTTTWTATATATATATAATACTCACCAATTTTAACAGTATTTTTATTGTTTTGAGGCTTTTCATAACCTACTTTACTTAGGGARCTAAGGAGAATCAACCCTATCTCTCTCTCTTTCAAGGCAGGCCCTGCCAGGTTCGCTCACAGCTCTGTGTTCCACCAATCATATGGCACTGGACTGGGAGATGCGAGATCAAGACAGTGAGAAATTATGGAGGAAAAAGCAAAGACTCAGGACATGCTACCATGAGGAAAATTCTAGAATAGAAATAAATAAAATTTATTTWAAAAAATATAAATAAAAAAGAGCAGCAGACACAGGAAGAACAAACGCTGGAGACTAGTGAATACCAGTCTAAAAATCCATGGGCCACACACAAAAATAAAGACCTCTTTGTGCATCTGTGTGGGCAATTAACTATTATAATTTTGACACTGTATTACATGACAAACTACAGAATTTTTCTACATCCCAGGTATCAGCCTGGTTGTGCGATCTAATCCTGAAAATGAAAGAACTAGCTGCCTTTCTCATTTTTTTCTCAGCATTTAATGTTTAAAATGTAGGGCATGAAGCATCTGGCTAAAGACCAGGAAGCTGTGGCACACCTATACTGTATTTATATATGTCACATGGCAATTTACAGATTAATAAGAGCAAAAGCTTGTTTTAAAGGCTGTTGACTCTCACATGGAGCAAGCTGGATTACCAAATCAAACCTGGGCAAGCCAGTTGCATCCGATGCAACTCTATAGTTCCCGGTGTGAATCCCAGATGCAGGGTGAGCCCCCCAGCCAGTTGCATCCGATGCAACCCTATAGTTCCCGGTGTGAATCCCAGATGCAGGGGGAGCCCCCCAGCTCCTTGCTGCAGGAACAGCTGTCACTGCTCTACGGCTCCGCCACTAGAGGGGGTCTCGATACCTGTTTTCCTGGGAAATGGGGGGAAAAAAAACAGGAGCTGAGTGTAGGGCCTTAGCAATCCGGATTTTTGGGGGGTGGATGGGGAAATGGGTGCAAGCTATAGACACGGCACGTAGCTGGCGGGCTCATTCAGCAGAGCGCTGCAGCTCAGTGCCTGAGGCTCGGTTAGTACGAGGAACAAGAGAGTCCATTCCTGGCTCTGCAGGAAACAACTTTTCACGGCGTGTTACGAAACAGCCGCCCCGGCGAAGGCAGCAGCGCTGCGGGCAGCAGTCCTGCCCGCAGCACCCGCCGTGCCGCTTGCTTTTCACACCCCTGTGACGGCCCACCACGCTCCGCCAGCCTTCGCGCCCTCCTTGCATGGTGGGGGGAAAATAATAATAATAATAAAAAGACCAATAAATAGTAGTCAAGAGAGGAGAGCTTCGGGGCGCTTTTCCTTTCGCGTCTTCCATTAGGACGCTGGGCAGTGCGTGAGGATGATCCTGGCCGGTGCCAGCAGTCTCGTCCCGCTGGTGAGACGGGCTGGGAAGGAGCTGGCCTGGATTTTAAGGAAGCAGCAAACAGGAGACGGAGGGTGGGGGGAAAGTGAGGGCGGGAGCTGCCAGGCGGGAAGGGAGCCCGGGAAACGCCGCGGGAGACAAAGGGAGGGCGCGAGGCTGGGACGGGCCCCGAGGGCAGCGCGGGGCCGGGTGCCCGGCAAGGGCTGCGGGGCAGGGGGCGTCTCGGCCCTCCTTTGTGCGGGCGGCGGGTCCCGGCGCGCAGCCGGCGGTGCCCGCAGGAGGCGGGGACGGAGGCCGGCGCGGAGCGGCGCGGAGCGGGGCGGGAGGGGGCGCTGCTGCTGGGAGCCCCTCGCGGCTGCTCCGCCGGCTTCCGCGCTGCGCGGAGCGCAGGGCTTTGAGGAAAACATAAAGGATGGGCGGGCGGCCGCGCAGCAGCGGGCAGCGCCGCCGGGCCCGCCGCTGAGCGCCGGACACGCGGGAGCAGCAGCGGGAGCAGGAGGGAGCATGGCAGCGTCCAGCAACTCCAGCCTGTCCGGCTCGTCCGTCTCCTCTGGTAAGTTTTCCCCTGGCAAGATCGGCGTTTATCCTTCTCCCGCCCCCTCCATTTTAGCGAAGCGTGCCCCTGTTTATTTATTTATTATTTATTTATTATTACTATTTTTTGGCGGCGCCCCAAAGGCATGAGTACTTCAGAAGTCCGGGGCAGAGTCAGCACCGCCGGGGTGTCGCAGGCAATCGCCGCGGGCTCGGCGACCGCCAGCCCCGACGGACGGAGCCGCGGGCAGCGGGGCCGCTTCCCGGCCGCGCAGCGCGGAGGCTCCGTGTCTCGGAGCCGCCCGATCCCGGGAAAGTCGCGCCGCGGTGCCCAGAGCAGCGGCTGGGAGATGGAAGCGGCGGGGGCGGCGGGAGAGGAGCTGGCGGAGAAGAGGCGCGCTGGCGTTTGGACGGGCTGCGGGAATAAACGGGAGCAACTTCGGGACGCGAGGTGCTCCTGGTTTCTTTGAGGCGCCGAGCTGGGAATTTGCAAGAATGCGCTTTTCCTAAACGTAGCAATAGGCGCTGCGCAAAGCAGACAGGCTCCTTCCACTGCCAGGGCAACTGTATAAAATAGAAGCAAAATTAAAAGGCAGCGAAGGACTGTGTTTTCTTCACAAAGATGGTGTTGGTGACTTCTGCATTTGCTGTGCGTGTTGGGGTGGGTGTCTGCATGTGGCATGCTTGCAGCAAGATCCACAGGAAGAACCAGCTGCTGGAAAACAAGTATTTATTGTGAGCCCTTATAGTAGTTTAAAAATAAATAAATAAAAGGCAATCCTTAACCAGAAAGTAGCTAGAAAGAGGCACCTGCTGTTCTGCTTTGTGTTCATGCTCAGGATGCAAGAGTGATAGGACCAGGATGAAAACATGTGTAAGTCAACCTGGCTCAGTAGCCTACTGGATAAGGCACTCGTTCAAGCAATGTGGTTTTCATTTTATGGATCGCTTATGTTTTTTTCTTTACATTTTTTACATCAAAGTTACGTGATAAAACCAGAAATAACCCTGGCATCTTAGACAGGATCACATCTTCCTCTGTGTTCTGTCCAGATGAGGAAGTGCATTTGCTGCCTGCTCCCTTTCCCTGCCCCACGAACCTCAAACTTCTTCCTTGAATCTCAGATCCCTGCTTGCCTGGTGCTCCAGCTTTCATGGAGGGGATTCAGAAGTGCTGCTCAGTGTGTGTTTCTGGATCCCCTCAGGCTATGCTGCACGCTGACCACAGGATCTGCCTCCCGGGTTGATGGATGGGTTCAAGCACCTGAACTCCAAGTACGGTTGGAAGTTCAGGGATGTCCTTGGTGGGAGCATTTGATACCAGCTCGCTCTGATGATTCAGCAAGTGAACCTGGCACTTCGCACCCAGCACAGGCGCTTCCCATGGTGAGACTTAACATCTAGCAYCTGCACCCAGCTCTGGCGTCCACATCCACCTAAGTGTTGTTTCACAAGGCAGCTGATGGCCCTTCACTGTCCATCTCTACAATACTTAGTAGAATGTGGTCTGCTTTTGCTACAGTGCAGTCGGCCTGTGGTTTTTCTGTGTGCATACTAGTCAGAGGCTGAATTTGCTACACCATGATAAAGTTTCCAATATTAGCAGGCTCACCATATCTGAGTGCGAGCAGCCGTATTTTGGCTGTCTGTGGTTTCAGTTCTCAGAACTCAGCAAGTCTGAGTTCTGAATATTTTTTTGCTTAATCTAACCACACAGCCTTGCTTTTAAATTGACTTTGGTAGAATTCATCTACATGTTCAACTTACCAAGATGAAGACTACTGATGATATACTTATTTCTATGCAGCAGAAAAGGGAATGTTACAGTATCACGGTACATTTTACTAATGGAGAAGGAAGCAAAGTTGGTGGTTGATACAAGCTGGAGGACTCAGCTCTACCGCTGGCTTGATGCTTTGCCTTGATCAAGTCATGTCATGCACTGCTGGATCGTTTGCTCAGCTTTAAAAGCTCTACAGTGTTTGTCTGCCTCATAGGGAACTTCTGGAGTCAAATTAAGGTGTTATTCACAGGGTGCTTTCAGATCCTGAAATAATTTAGGTGCAATTTCTGGGTTTGAAAGTGCATTTTGAGCTTCAGCAAAACACATTTTAATGATTGTAGCCTTAAAGAGAGAGCTGATGCACCAGCACTGTGAGAAGAAATAGACCTGCTCATTTTAGGAGCATATAAAKACAATTTCTTAATTTGACACCACTGTCAGTGTGGTTTGAGGTAACAAAATTGTTGTTTTGAGGTAACAGCAGAAGATCTGCCCAGCTCTTGTCCTTAAATTTGAGTGCTTGAGATGTATGTAAGTTTGAGCACAGGGAAATGATACTTCAGCAGTCTAGGTGACTTGTTTCTTTTAGGAACTTCAGGGAGTGATGGTTGCTGTGCTGCCTGCCCTGCCTGTGCACATGTGTTGAGCTGTCTGAGAGCTTGGTTTTGGTCAAGCTGCTTAAAGAGAGGCTGCTGCTGAGCATCTGCAGCTTCCTTCTGCATGGATCCAGAATTTGGTTAGCCTCCTGTGTGGAAATGCAAGGGTTAGCCTAGGACTGGTCTTACATGGCGTAAGCGCAAGTTTATTTACTAAGTGATAGTGGTGGAAATCAATATTTGAATAGCAGATGGGAATTTCCATTTTTTTTTCTTTAAAAGGAATGATTGCATGACTTTCTCAAAACACTGTTACCCTTCCTTGCACAGTGTTCCTCACTCCTGTCTTCCTTCACAGCAGCACCTATTCAGTACACAGGTGAGCACAGGTCTGTTGCAGGAACAGAACAGTCAAATCAAACTCTGAGGGGAAAAAAAGTCTGTTCATAATGTTGACTTGCTGAAGCTTAAGAATATGTTACTGCATTGGGCCACTTGCGAGGTAATATTGCTCTTTATGTGTTCTACAGGTTCTTGTAAATGAGAAAAGATGTAAAATACCAATTCAAATATATTTAATGGGGATGCATGGGCATTTTATGGTGTAGGTATTTTGCCTGCCCACTTACACCTTTTTCAAATGTGCAAGTTGGATTTATGGCCTTCACTTGAACTCATTTCTGCTTAAGAGGAACTGGCTCCGTCCTGGAAAGTCCTTTCCAAGCACTACCTGCATGGTGGCATAGCAAGAGGGTTGGTTAACTCTTTTACAACTAGCAAGCCAGCACACCTGCAGAGCTATGACTTCAGTTATAAATTAGTGTTAAAACAGGTGTTAGCACTTAGGAATCTGTTACTGCTTTGCCTTTAAGCAAGAGAATCTCTTCTTTGAATTAGCATGCCTTGATACTTGTCCCTGTACCTGCTCTCATGCAATGAATTGTAGGTTCAATGATGTTTGGTACTTGCTGTGGGTCTGACCTGAGAGGAGCTCATAAAGGTGTTTTTTTTTTCTTTTCCTTTTTTTGTTTCTTTTTTTTTTCTTTTTTCCCCAGTAAGCCAGCTCTTATTGGCAGCAAAATAAATCTTTCTTGCAGGAGAGCAGTGGATGTTTGTACTGCATTTCTTCACGTATAGCTCTGCTGTTGGTGACAACTTCAGCCACTGTTTGACTAGTAGCACTCATGTTTGTGTGTGGCTAGGGAGAAGGGGATATAGTGTGTGGGGAGAAGGTGAGCATTTTAAGCAGTTACATTAAGTATTCTCCTTGGATCCCTGGGTAAATCTGCACAGAATACGAAGTGCTGAAATTATAATTACTTCCATTGGGAGTTCCACTTTACCTTCCCATAATCTCTTCCACAGCAAATGCCCAAGTGATCTATTAGCTTTATGCCTTGCAAGCTCCTAAATTTTGTTCCTCTCTGTAGCTGAAGTGCTGATTCAACCACAAGCAGCATCTGCTTTTACGTGTCCTCCCTTATCCTCTAATGAGGACTGTACATGTTTGTATGATGTTGGTCCCTTTCCTTCATGCTTCTTTCTTCCTAAAATAAGCCTAATCTCTTCTCCCCACCAACCTGTTTTATTATTGACTCTTATTCTTACTAACGCTAGAAGAATTTGAATGCCGACCCAAGCCAAATACGTAAAAATAAATGCCAGTATTCCCAATATTTTGTCTTTTCTGTGAATTCAAAAGATAAATTAGCAAGTGATGGAGAAATGGGGGCTAAGGAGGTACCTGTGCATCTTCTTGTTTTTCATCTGAATTGCTGCTTCATGTGGTCAGTGCATCCAGAGTAGGACCTGTTGTTAGACTGAATGATGCCACTGAAACTCTTTCTCTTACAGACCTTAAGAAAGGTTTGTATGTCTGGATGTTTTTATTTTTCATCTGTGCCAGCTGCTTTAATAAAAAACATTGGTTCTCCCTACAAATCACCTATGTGTTTATAGACTTGAAATTCTATGTAGAAAATACTGCTATAAAACCCTCTTTGAAAAAATACCAATTATTGATTTTTTTTTTTTTTTTTTAAATAGAAAAATACATTTTTCTGTCCTGAAGCTCAGGGAAGAAAAGGCCGCTAAGTATCATTGAACCTGTGATCTTCATTCAATTAATAATGCAGTTTACGATTTGTAAACCAATTCTTGTCATAAACTAAAAGGTGCAAAGCCTGCTTTTTAAAATAAATGATCAGATAAATGTTGTATAAAGATTTCTCAACTAGGTGTTTTTGTACCTACAGTGTGTTGTGAGAAGGATAAAAAGAGCTTACCAAGGAAAGGAGAGAAATCTTTGATGGTTCCAGTAACTTAACAAGGTCAAAATAAAATATTAAAGGCTCATGACTCTCTGGGGGTCGTGAAGGTGCTAAGATGTAAAATAGGCAGCTATACGGTAAAAATGAAAGTCAACATAAGCTGATTTTAATTAAGATGCTAGCAAGTGAGAAGAAGTGAAATTACTATTGTACACAGATTCTGAGAGATCCTAATTGGGAAAAAGATTAGTAAATGAACATAGATGTTTATTCTCAATGATTTAATAGAAACAGCATTGTGAAAATGGTACATGAAAAATACATAAATAATGCTGTCATTATGCCAATAAGGTGTTGCTTTTGCTTTCAC